GACAGAAGGCTGTTCGGAATATTGCAATTACATTACAGAATCTCTTGCAGACATCAAATATCAGTGTAGTGATGAGATGGTTAATAAACACTTCTAGGCTATATAATGCCCACGAAGCAAATGTATACTCTAAGAAATAAAAATAAACTAGTTGTTTTACGAAATCGTCAGCAGCAATCACCACCACCACCACACTCCCCCCAAAAATTGAACACTTTTCTTTTTCAATAGTCCATTAACTCCACAGGAAGATGCCTTGTAAAAGTTTCCCAGTATTATTTAAAATGCATAGAACTAAAAGGTCAAGGACTCAAAAATATTAACAGAAAATAATTGAAAAAGAGAAAGGAAATGGTACCAGGGCTTGAAGAGAAGTTGGAACTTCTAAGTGCCTGCTACAAAGAAGTCACGGCTGCACCATCTACATTTATAATTGGATATTTGCAGCTTATATGGTTTTCTTTTCATAGCTGGCAGGAGGCTTGTTTGAAACAGCAAAGAGTTCGCCCAACACAATAGCAAACCAACTCACAAGGTAAGATCGAGTGACAGTGGATGGACTGTTGTGTTTTTTTGTTCTTGCATAATAGCATTTCTAGATTAATCTATTTAAAAAAAATAACCAGGTGCATTATCCAAATGTTCAGTTACTGGGGACACTCACAGTTGTCTGTCCATGGCAATTTCATTTCTGTTTTTTACACAAATCATCACTTGCAAGCACTGATGTTAAAAACAGAAAAACAGTCTAGTACACAGTGGCTATAAATGCCAAATCAATTTTCAGCAGATAATAAAGTCCATGTTTTACAATCAGCAATGCACTGTTTTACTACCCAAAAATGTAAGCTAATAATATATAGCTCTACTAAATGGAAAATGCAGATATGCTGTTAAAAAAACGGGCCGGCTACGAGAGGATGGATCATTTCTGCAGGGACCTTCTTAAAGCTATGTGTAAGTGTTTTGAAAATATCACATGATGTGGCCATGTGTTAAAAATTACAGCCAGTTAAGTTCTCTGCTAAGAAAAATATGTGGGCAATTTATGAAATGCACTCCAGGATGGAGATGTCTTAAGTAAAACCAGATTTTGAAAACAAACCTTTTTTTTTTTTTTTTTTTGGAAACTTGAACTTAAAAAAAAAAAAGTTCCAGGCACATCTGGAGAGCAGGACCATTGAGAAAGGGTGGTCTGACCTAATACTAGCCATCTTCTGAAAGAACAGCACTATTTCTGGGCTCCACTGACTCTGCTCACTTATTGTCCTTTTAAGGAAACAGTCCTGAAAGCATTTTGTAGGTCAACATATGTTCTTTGATAATATTATACAAAGATGGATAAAAATATAAGCGTTTCAGAAAGCTCGGAGTCATCTCCTCCCGAAAGAATATAATGCCCAAGGTCTCTCATGAGAAAACATTTTCCTTTTCTTAAACACAAGGATCTAGTTGTTCCAAAATGACAGGCAGTGAAATGATATTTCCTTATATTAAGTTAAATCATAAAAATAGTTCAATCTAGTTCTTTAAAGCATGCGTGGTCTCCTTCGACTTTTTATGGCTCATTTTGTAACAGTACGATATCAACAGCTAAAGTGTGTTTTTTTTAACCAAAATAGTTCTAGAAATCCCTAAACTAAGACTTTGTTACCTACCCACCCCCACAGATTGGTATGTCTTTGAATAAGTTCGGTCTGTGCACATCTGTTTACAGGGATCCCCATTTTTATGAAAAAGGTCCTAGACCTGAGAATTGTTACATCAAGTTTGAGACACCCAGGAACCAGTTCTGACATCTGACCTACTAAATAATGATAACAGTAGTAGTAATAGTAAGATTAAATGTTGATATATAAATATGTAGTCAAAGAAAAAAGAAAAGTGACAATATCAGATTACCCGAAACACATCCTTTTAATCTACTCCACATAATGTCTTATTTAAAAACATAAGATCTGTCTCAGATGGTTAAAATTGTCCATTAATATAAGTACATATGTATGGACTAAAATATGCTAAAAACATATTAAGAGGCAGTTCATGCAATAGGAGAGTTTAAAAAGTACAGATGGGTGTCAAAAATAGCCAAGTGTCAGATCTGCTCAAGTATCGCCATTCTGGTGCAGGCTCAGAGTCACAGCTGTTAATATATTCTCTGCATCCAAGTACAGGATTTTCTAACACAGTTGATGAGAGAGAGAGAGAAACACTGCCACACTTGAGGCTACTGCCTTAGAACCAGTCAGACATTAACAACTTAACACTGAAACAAACTTATCAATGATTCTAAAACTTCAGAGTGCAACGTATGCTCAATAAGGCTGCTTTGAAGAGGACTTTAAAATCGTGTAAGCAGTAAGGGGTAGCAAGGGTCCTAACTAATCTCCTTCACCCATGATCATTCACAAATGGCTTTGGGCACTTATGGGGCTTTAACCAAAACAACACAGACTCTTCAAAATGCTGATCAACGAGATCATTCCACATATACTTAGTAAGAGCATAAAAACAAAGAAGATTCGAGACAGGACAGCAGATGCAACGCTGCTACAATATTCTGGCGAAATAAAAATACCACCAGCACCACCACCAGCACCAGCACCACCAGCAGCACCACCACCACCAGCACCAGCACCACCAGCAGCACCACCACCACCAGCACCAGCACCACCA